AAGATTAATATACAGAACTCTTCAAGAAATTAGGAAGGAAATCAAGCAAAGTGCAGAACAAGCAATAGAGAAAACTAAAAAGATTAGAGAAGAGCATAATGACAAATTTAACAGGCTGCAAGAATCCATACAGAGACAGCAATCAGGAATCCAGATTAACAATAAAATGCCAGAATTAGACAACTCAATAGAAAGTCATAGGAGCAGAACTGAGGCAATGGAAGTCAGAATTAGTGAGACTGAAGATAAAGCATTTGACACCAATTTATTTGAGGAAAAATCAGATAAAGGATTAAAAACCATCTCCCTCTTATTCGCTCCGGTTCCTGCCAGTTCAAATGCTTGCCTGGCAAGTCGGGCCAGGCTGCCCGCGCATTCAGGGCAGGCGGTCTCAGGGGTCTGCGCTGACCCACTTTCTCCCATACCCCAGCCCCGCCACGTGCATGCGACAACCTCCAGCAGACTCACAGATTAGAGAGATTTGTGCTTTTCCTTTCTAAGACCTCTCGCCTACAAAACTGTGTGCATCTTTTCTGGGAAGATTATCCATAGATTTTCCTGCATTCTTGGAAGGATACGCGACCCAAAAATCAGGCTCAAGCTTTCAGGGGGCGTGGAAGGAGGCAGGTGTCCTGTCTCCACCCATGCGCTCCTGGTCCCAGACCTGAAGGGACCACAGCCCCAGAAGGGACAGAGCGGAAGTAGGACTCCACCAGTGGGCGCTGTGCCTAGTTTCCCACTGGCCCACCCCATACCTCTCCCCAGGCACGGATGCCCACAAAGCCGCGTCGCTGTTAGACTGGCACTATTAAACGGACACTCCTACCTGCCCCTGTTCAAACCCCTTCTATTTGGGTTTACAGCTGGCTCAAAACCAAAAAACCCAAACTAGGTGCCATGGAGTCAATTCTGACTCATGGCAACCCCATGTGTTACAGAGTAGAACTGTGTTCCATAAGGTTTGCTTGGCCATCATCTTTATGGATGCGGATCACCAGGCCTTTCTTCCGCTGCACTGCCGAGTTCAAACTGCCAACTTTTAAGTTAGTAGTTCAGTGCAAACCATTTGCACCAGCCGGGGACCTCTATTGCCCTAGCAGGGGCCTAAAATCCTCTTGGCTCTCAGATCTTGCCACCTGCACATCAATACCCTCTCCTTCCAGCTCCCTAGCACTCTCTCTTGCCTTTGCCTCTGCTCTGCCCCCACTTCCCTTCCCTGACTCCTTTTCATCATCATTCTCAACTCAAACTTCACCTCCTCCTCCAGGAAGCCTTCCCTGACCACCCCCAGACTGGCTGGTATCCTCTGGGCTCCCACACAGCCTCCTCTGCTGCAGGGTATCTGCCTGGTTGTGGGCCTGTGCCCCCAGAGAGAAGGATCCTCTCAGTCTTATTCGTGCTGTGAGAGTCACACCTCATAGTAGCCCAGTAAAGGCTCTGATAAGTCCTGCAGTTAGGAGCCCCAAGGCAGGGAGAACTCTAACTTGCTGGAATGGGAATGGGCTTCCCTATCTCACATATGCTGGCTCTGATCCCCAAGAGCTGGAGACAACCCCTGACCTCCCATGGCTGCAGGCCCTGTCAGGACAGTTCCTTGGGTGGTGTGTGTTGGTGGGAGGATACAGAGGCTGGACTGCTTGTTAATAAAACTAATAGTTCCTTTACAGCTGCCAAAATAATTTTAATGACAGTGAAATCACAGCAGCTGTCACGTGTCCAATGCCGTCAGCTTTACCCGCACTATCTCTGTGATCCCCTCTGCAAAGCAGCTGGCATTACTGATGCCATTTTCTGGATGGGGGAGTCAGCAGGTCAGCCTCCCAGCTAGTAAATCTTGGAGCCAATATTCAAACTGGAGACCACGTTCTTAGCCTCCACGCAGGGTTAAGATGCCCTTACGCAAGGACAGGTGTCAGGGAAGAGTTCTGGCAGGCAATAGAGCGGGGTGGGGTCTGAAGGACAGATCTGTGAATGGGACCCAAGGGAGGCTGGCCCACCACAGCTCCCAGGGGCTCCGTTGGAAAGAAAGCAAGATGGCTGCGGACTGGCAGGCAGGAGGGAGGAGTTTATTTATCTGCAAAGTGCAGGGCGGGCAGGGGCAGAAGGGTCAGGGAAGGGGAATGTCCTCCAGCTTCTGGTCCAGCGTCTTGAGGTCGTCCAGAAAGCGGGTAGGGGTGAGAATGTGCGAGGAGCCTGGGAGGAGGGAAGGCTGGGGAGGTAGGGTCGCTGCCTCGGCCCCTGACACCTGCCAGGGTACCAGCCCGGGCCCCTGACCCTAAGGCCCCATGAGTCTAGAACTCTAGCATAGGAGTCCAGCCTTCAGTGACTCCTTCCCTGGGAACCCAAGACCCAGCCCCTCAGAACCCCAGGTGTCCAGCACCTGGCCCCTCCCCCAGGGATTTAGGAGTCCCCCCCTCCCCTCCACCGAGGGATCCTAGCCTCTAGGCCCCAGGTACTCCACACTCCAGCCCTTTAGGGCCCAGGAGTGAGCTGTCAGCCCCCATACTTCTAAAGAACCTACAAGTCCAACCCAGCCTCCCAGGTATCCAGTAATGGGGGAGTCTATCATCCCCCCTCCAGAGGCCCCAGGTTCCAGCCCCCCAGGAATCCAGCCCCTACTCCAGGGGCCCCAGGTCCCAGGGACTCAGGAGTGGGGGAGTCCAGCACCCCTTCCAGGTGCCCCAGGTCCCCACCCCTCAGAGCTCCAGGAATGGGGGGAGTCTAGCTCCCAGCCCTGCCCTGCCCCAGGACCCCATGTTCACCCCACGTCAACCCACACTACTCACCAATGAGCACCTCCCACTTGCCTTCGGTGGCTCTGGTCACCTCATAGGCGGCCCTCATCTCTGACATGGCCACGCCGCCCACCACGTACACAATGAGCCGGGGTCCCGCCCGCACCTCCACACCCGCCTTGTTCTTGTGCCAATGGCCAAAGCGGGCACTGTGTGGGGGAGGGGCAGAGGTCAGTCTAGGCAGGAGACCCCCAACCACGCCATCATCCAACGGCCTCGGCATTGCCAGGGGCAGAAGTTGGCCCTTGTAGGTGGGCTCCCCAACCCCCCAGCATCCCCAGGCTCTCACCTGACAGCAGCCTGGGAGCTGGGCGTGGGGGCAGGGTCGGACACAAAGGGCCACAGCTTCCGGTCCAGCCGGTCTTCCACGGCATCCTGGGGTGCCCGAGAGGCAGGTTTAGAAGCCCCAGGTGGTAGAGGGGGT